CTCGAGCCGGGCCCCGCCCCCGGCCCGCTGGGCCCCCACCTGCTGCGGCGGCCAGCGGAGAGGAGCCCGGCCCAGGGCGGCCGCCTTCCCCGTGCGCCCCGCTCCCCCCTCCCACAGCCTCCCGGCCGCAGGACCGCGCGGTTCCGGGGCGGGGCGGGGCGCGCACCATGTAGACCAGCCCTCCCCGACCTAGCCCCTCGGAGTCCATCTCACCTGAGGGGCCGAGCGCCCGCGTGTTCTGAGTCGAGCCCCAGTCCCGGGGTAGCCTGGCCTTCCCGCCTGGGCGCACGCTCTCCAGAGCCCTCCGTCCCCCTAGAAGCCCGTCCTCTCTCCTCCCCGGAGGAGGGGACCCCTCGGGCTCTGCTGGAGAGGGAGGGGGTGGCGGGAAGCGGGGTCCTCCCCAGCCCGAGCCGAAATCCGGCCTCCCCGCCAGATCAGCCCCACGCTGCTGCGGCGGCGAGGGCGCGGGGCAGAGGAGGAGCTGGTGGGGACCGGGTGGCCCCCGGTTTTGGAGCCTGGCGGTCGCCTGCCGGCGCCGGGCCGGGGGAGACCCGGGTGGGCGGGAGGCGGGAACCAACCGGAGGGGTGAACGGGCGCAGAGCGCACGTGCACGGGGCCAGAGCGCGCCCTGGATTCAGACGCCGCCACCCGGGCTGTGAATCTGTGCTTCTCTGCACGGCAGCCGGGATAAAACTGACAGAAGGGAACCAACACTTTGGAAGCCAGAGAAAAAGGAAAGGGAAGCCACCAGCCCCGAAACACTGGCAATACCTGCTGTTTAGGTGGTGCCTTCTAGCAAATCCAAAGCGGTCCACACTGATTAGGTGTGTGCACCCCAGTGGAATAGTGGTGAAGCCGCTCTTCTAAGCTGAGAAAAATATGATAACCTAGATATTGTATAATGAGGTCGCTATTGGGTTTAGCTGCCCATAAGCCCTCCCTTCTCCCAACTCCCAAAACATTCAGAGAGAGAACCTCATTTTGACACTTTACAGGTTCTGCTGTATACGACGGTTATTTATGCTTCATCCCCCATCTCCAACTCCAGAGCCCAGTACAATTCAGGTGCATAATAGGTGCTCAATAACTGCTGAGAAAAATTAACGTGTGAATCCTATTACTGTGCTAATTGTGACGTGGGCAACAATATAAAAATTTTAAATTGGGGGATCATATTGGAAAATGCAAGTGGGTAGAACAGTGATGGCTGTATGAAGAGTAATAAATGTTAGCTGTAATTATTATATAGATACAATTGCTATTCATCATATGTATGTAGGTAGTGGGTTAAGGATTACATGCTAAGTTAGAGATAGCAAATGTGTGTGTATCTGTGGTTAAGGCGTTCCAATGTGTCTTCCCCAAAGAGAACATTTTAACATTTTGTTTTTTTAATTTTCATTACAAATAAGTATTATCAGTTCAGCGGGTATGCATAAATATGAAATATTCCATGTTGACTTATTCATTTTTATAACATCTTTTCTAGGAAGAAACAAGAGGCCCCAAGGATGCTCATTTTGTCCAAAAGAGCCAGAAACTGAAATGTCCCACCACATGAAACCCGCTAGGGTAAGGGTTTGGTGACCTGAATGAAGAGGCCGACCCAGGAGGACACCAGGAAAGCTCCGATCTCCCTCCTGGGTGTTTTAGATTAGTCTTGGGTCTGTGAAACTGCTCTTGGGAGCAATGTTCTTGTCCATGTGAGATAATTTATCTCTTCCATTTGGCAACCGGGAAAATGTAATTTTCTCCATGTGATGAGCATGAATGAGTGGCTCGTGCATAGTGAATGGCCGTCCTCCAAGTAGTGCGACAAGGGTGTAAAATATGCATTTTAATATCAGAGTCCATTGCCACACAATACCAGGGGAGTGAATGGGAACTGGGATATTTATCTGAGTACCCTCCATGACATGTGTATCACCTGTGTATCAATGGGTTGGTCTCCTGTGGATGCTGCTATCAGGAAAGAGATTAGTCTTTATTTTTACCCTGAGAGAAGACTCCTAAAGAAACAGCTGGGGCCTAGGAAGGGATCGTTCAGCAGAAAATAACCATACAGAGCCCAGGGGTTGGGAAGATCACCAGGTCATTTTAGGGCTTTTTTTTTTCCTGGGAGTAAAAATGTACCAGCTTTCCCCCATGCCTATGACTAGAAACCACAAGCTGTACCCTAGTGGCTAGGCCAGGGGTGCCAATATCTGTGGTGGTCCTGGAGGACGCAAAGGTAGGGAGTTGCTGAATGGAGCAGGAAAGTGCCATGCCTGCCTTGCTTAGGGTATTTAGATATAATGTTTTTAGTATACTTGTATGTACTGCCGAAGTGAGAACGATATAATTTTTTTTAAAGGTTTTTATTGGGGAACTAGGGGAAGGGGAACAGACAAGTTGCTGTCCTTTTGTTCTCCAGTCTAGTTGTGGAGGACGTTGCTTCACTGGCCCAAGTTGGCACCATCATTGCACTCTTCCCGGGTGAGGCAGATCAGTCGCCGGCTTCTGGACGGCCGCTCACTGTGGCTGCTGGCTGCTCATGCTGGCTGCTAGCTACTCATGGTAGCCCATGGCAACCCACTGCAGCGGGGGCTGCAGCCTACACCGAGCTGGCAACTCACAGCTGCCCAGCTCCAGGTCAAGCTGTTGTTCAGCATCTTAGCTGTAGAGGGCAGTGTCACTGGCCCTCATATGTGGGATCTGAACCGGGGCCCTCTGGCGTCCCAAGCCAGCTCTTAACCAACGCGCTACTCGAGCGGCCCAATTTTTTTTTAATATTATTGATATAGACTGAATGTTTATATCTCACAAAAATTTGTATGTTGAAACCTAATCCCCAATGTGATAGTATTTGAAGGTGGGGCCTTTGGGAGGTGATTAGGTGGTGAGGGTGGTGCCCTCAGGAATAGGATTAGTGCCTTATAAAAGAACGTGGATTGAAGATAGTGGTCTAAGAACCAGGAAGCCAGCTTTCACCAGACACCAAATCTGCCAGCACCTTGCTCTTGGACTTCCCAGCCTCCAGAACTGTGAGAAATAAATGTTTAAGTCCCCCAGTCTATGGTATTTTTGTTATAGCAGCCTGAATGGACCAAGACAATTGTGCTGACCAAATTCATCTCTCATGACACCCATTTTTTACTTGAGTCTAGGTGGAGGAGGGGAGGAAACTTAGATTTATTAAACACAGTTTTTTCCCACCCTGCCTTTTCTACTCCAAGGAGGACTTGGCATCAGGGCCAATGACTTTACGTATGGCCTCTTTCCAAAGGGTTAGGACTGGTCCTGTTTAAACAACCAACTGAACTATGACTTCTAGAAGATGGAGTCACCACAGCAGGGGTATATAAATATACCTGTGCTATGCCAGGCATCCTGCTTCTCTTGGCTTGCTCCCTTTTGGGAATAGTCTGATCCATCTCTCTCTCTCTCTCTCTCTCTCTCCATGTATATCTCAATCTTTCTCTGTGTATGTCTCTCTCTGTCTCTCTCATCTTGCTGTTATTGTCTGTCTTCTATCTATCTATCTATCTATCTATCTATCTATCTATCTATCTATCTATCTATCTATCTCATCTCACTTCTCTCACACACACATACCCTTTTTCTTTCTCCTCTCTCTTTTTTCATATGTGCTGCCTGTCTGGCTGGGCAGGTGAGACAGGCCTGGGGCTATTCTCACACCCTGGGACCTCAGGTCTAGAAATTAGAGATAACCCGCTCTTCACTTTCATCCCATGTGGCTCTGGAAAGGCCTTTTCTCACCAGCAGAGAGATGAGCTCGAAGACACAGGCATAGACAGGGAGAAGGAAGTAGCAGGCTCTCGGGGTGCTTGGTTTTAACGATAGGCTAGTGATTCCAAACCTATATGTTCACTAGAATCACCTAGGAAATCTTTAAGTACGCTGAGAAAAAGAAGCAATAGTTGGTCACGATGACCCTCTTACCAATGTCTGTCCCCATTTATAGTATCCTGCCTTCCCTCCTTTCATTGTAGATAAATTGTCCCTGCTCCATAGGAAGTCACCCTCCCCTAGTGTGCACGATCCCACTTCCTCTCACTTAGTCAAGGACATTACTCTATAAATGCCCTCCTCTCTCTTTGCTTATCCGTTTTTCCTCATTGCTGGGTCATAAGCAGCAACTTTCAAATATGGTTTAATGTTCCCATCTTTAGAAAACAAAACAAAAAAACCCAGACACTCTTTTGACTCCATTTCTCTCCAGCTGCTTTCCCAACTCTCTTCTCTTTACAACAAACCTCTGCAAAACAAAACTTGCCTCTTATTGTCTTGAATTTCTCTCTTTAACCCATTCTAGTTATCTCTCCTTGGAGACTGCTCTTGTCAAGGTCATCTGTGATCTCCATGTTTTTAAATTTAATGACCAGTTCTCAGGCTTTATCTTATTTGACCTATCCAGCGTTCAACATAGTCAATCATTCTTGTCTTCTTGAAATACTTTTCTCATTTGGCTCCCAAGGCACTTCTGGTTTTTATTCAACCTTACTGGCCCTTTGGGAAACAACAAATGCTAGCTACTCAAAACAGCACAGCAAACAGTATATAAAATGGAAAAGTACTTGTGCCATATCCACCAAATTCAGAAACAAGACAGAGATGCTTACTATTATCATTATTAACATTGTCTTAGAGGCTAAAACAAAGCAATAAAACATGAAAATGATATGGTAGATACAACTCTTCAAAAGGAAAATACAAAAAAAGTCTTCATGTATAGGTGCTACAATTATACAGCTAAAAACTTTAGACTCTAGTTATTTTTCTTTTTACAAAATATTTTACAAAAATTAATAAGGTTGTGGTAAGGTAGCTAGAAATAGTATAAAAATAAATAAAACTAAAAGCTGGTTCTTTGAATAAAAAAACAATAAAATATGTACACTCCTCAGAATCCCAAATAAGGGGAAAAAATAAAGAAAACATAAAGAATATTATCAATGAAAAAGGTAATATAAGCATAGATTTGAGATATTCTAAAAATGATAAAAGGAAATTAAGTGCAATTCTCTAGCAAGACATTTAAATTAGTTATTTTTACTTTTTATTATCAGACACTGTTGTTGCTTTCACAGGGCTCACAGTCTAGTGGAGATACATATTAAATAGTCATTCACTGCCTAATGACATTTAGATGAAGGACGGATTGCATCTACAATGGTGGTCCCATGAGATTTTAATGGAGCTGAAAAATTCTTACCATCGAGTGATGTCATAGCCATCGTGAGATCATAGCTCAACATTACTCACCTTGTGGTGATGCTGGTGTGAACAAACCTACTGCACTGCTAGTCATATAGGTGTATCGCATGTTCACAATTATGTAAAGTATGTAATACTTGATAATGATAATAAATGACTATATTACTGTGTTATGTATTTACTACTATCCTTTTTTAATCATTAGTTTTGAGTGTACTCTTTCTCCTAATAAAAAAATAGTTTGCTGTAAAACAGTAGGTTGTGTCATGTCAGTAGCGGCCTCATACGCCTCGTGTTTACCACATTTCTTGATTGTATCTTTTTCTCTTGTGCTTTATTTAATCTTGTGTTTGTACAGTAACAGGCTGGACAGGCTTGCAGCCCAGGAGCAGTAGGCTATACCATACAGCCTAGGTGTGTAGTGGGCTAGACCATCTAGGTTCATGTAAGACACTATGATGTCTGCACAAGGACGAAATAGCCTCATGATGACTTTGTCAGACTGTATGCCTGTCATTTAAGTGGTGCATGACTGTACATGCTTAAACAAAAAAAATTGATTTTCCTTGTATGAAAAGCCTAACTAGCAGACCTAATCTCATTTGGTGGGGGAGGGGTGTCAAAAAAGGCTTCCTGGGGAAGCAAAAATTAAGTTTTATGTGGAACAGCAGAAGAGTGGCTGAGGCCGAGTGAACAGTGTGAGAAAAGGCCCAGGAAAAGATTGGAGCATTTGAAAATGTCACAGGCTGGAGGACAGGGTGGGTGGAAGGGAGAACAACCAGAGACAGAGTCAGGGTACAAATTGTGCAAGGCTTTGTGGCCCATGGCAAAAATTTCAGCCTACAACCTAAGTGTCATGGGAAGCCCTTTTAGCATTTTAAACAGGGAAGACTTGAGCCCCTACTGTGCTAAATGACTTTATCTGAAAGGTCTGCAAAAAATTGTAACCATGCAGTCAGCCAGGCAGCATTTCCCACTATCCCTTGTCCCTAGCATCATTGAGTGATAACTGGTACCCCTCTTTACCCCATGACTTCCTATCTTAGAGGTTTGTGGAAATTCTTCAGCACTTTCAAGGCAAGTCAATCCAGGTATTAGGTATCAAGTGGTTTGGACAGATCTTGACTCGCACCTGATTCCCACAAACAGAGCCAACCTCTGAGCCTGCTTACTTCCCAGAAGGTTCTTGGCTGGTTTGGATCGTCCCAGCATTCTCTTCTTTCAACTTGTGATAAGACCTACCTGAAATTCTAACTCCATGTTCCCTGATCTGTCCTTACCTCACCCAGTCGTATGGTTTTCAAACTATACGTCATAACCCCTCATGGGCTGTGTAATCAATTTAGCAGATCTTGCCAGCATTTCTGAAACACTGAAATAGAATACAATAGAAAACATCAAAATTCATTGTACATGATGAGAGTATCGTCTGATGACTTTTCATGTCAGATATAGATTTGTGTGGGGATTAGGATGTGTGTGTGTGCACGGGCCCCATAGATCACATCGTTAAATGGTTTTCTTAATTATGGGTCATGATCAGAAAAAGTTTGAGATCCACTACCCTACTTCCTCCCGTCTCCTGCTCAGCACAGGAATTTGAATCTAGTGAGGTCTGACTCTCCTGCTGTACCTCATTTCATTTATCCAACTCATATTTATTTATCGCCTGACATGTTAAAAAATCCTGTTCCTCTCATACAAACAACCCACTGCTATTGGAATATATTTGAGTTTTTCTCCTAATTGTAGAGCTTACCTTGAGGTTTTCTCCTCATTATCAACAGTGGGATGTACTTATAAAAGTGACCCATAGTTTGATGAGTAGCTCACACCCATAAGGACTGTTGGGGCCCAGGGCAGGCCGCCACCAAGATATCCCACAATGTCATATTGATTATTTTGAATTAAAACCACTTGAATATAAGGAATGGAGGCATCATATATAAACAATTCTTTCAAGAAGTTTTGCCTGTATATGACTTAAGAGCCTGCAAATATTGCTGAGCTTTGACCTAGATTTTTCACTTCTGGAGATCTCCCCAAAGGAAATAAATCGAGATTTTGTCAAAGATTTAGGCACAAGGATGATAACTGCAGCTTTACCTATAATAGATAAATTTTGGCAACAATGTAAATACCAAACAATGGGAAAACTGTT